AAAAAAGTTACAGCATAAATAATCTATCGGGATCACGACGCAGACTGATTTGTACCAAGATCTGCTAATTTAAAGGTATGGGTTAAACACTATTCGCCTCTCATTTCACCAAATAATAAAAGTTTCCTTTTTTCGGAATAATTGTCAGCATTGTCTAAAATCAGTATGTAAGAAAGCTCAATCGTGGACAAGTGGAAAACGTCTTGTTCTCGCACAAGAAATTCATGATAATTTGGAATTACATCTATATTAAGATCATATTGAGTTCACAGCACAAAAATACTACGATTCTGATTTGGAAAAGATAAAAAGAGAGGTTGACTAATTAACCGACCGTATTTAACTCAGTGAAGAAATTATCGACAGTACATGACGAGCAGATTCAAAAACCATATTGAAAGATCAAATCAACTCAATATTATACGATATGGAAAACACTATGTAAGATGCAGCGCACAAAGTTGAGAAATCAATTGACCAAGGATTATTCCTTTGAAAGTATAAATGATTTCTACTTACTGCTACATTTATTATACTATTCGTGGCTGCTGCGGTTTATTCGTCTACCTTACGAGAAGTTCTTCTTATTATTCTAATAATACTCAAAAAAACTCATGATCAATTCAGTTATCTCTATAATTCGACACTTATGCGCTTAAAAAAAACCATATCAACGATCTCAGTTAGCTATTAGATATTCATCAATGGGGAATTCTTAGAAGGAAGAACCACTGGATACGATACATTAATTATTCAACCTGTAGAAACCCATAGTCAAGAATCTCAAGTAACAATCTTTGATCAACCTTTGGAATTCCAAACAGATGATCTACAAACACAGAATTGAAGAACTCGTTTATCTAGTAGCTGAAGTCCATCAACGACCAGAGGAATAGTAGCACTTTCTGCAGAAACCAGAAGAACCAGACGGACAGACAAATTAAAATCTGAAAACGAGAGAGAGGAGCATTGGTACTATTGTTATAAGAATAAATTTAATAATTAATATATTAATAAATTGTTTCTTTCTTTTATACTTATATCTCTTTAAAAAGAATAATAATCAAAAAAAAAAATGAATCTTTTATTACTAATTTTAACACAAAAAGGAAAAAATTATTAATATAGTAATTATTATAACATTGCTCGTGTAGAAATTAGAACATTATTTATACAAAAAACACTATATATATCAAATAAAATATCTCTTCTATGTGAGTACTTAATAACTTTGTAAATATCTTTTTATGTAGCCAATGTAAGTTACGTTCTTCCCAATCGAGGAAATTGTTGTACTAATTGGTAACGGCAATATAGAAGGATTGATGCGTAAGGATACAGAGGACATTGATCACCGACCATCTAGTCAATATTGAAACAAGCTCAGTAATGACAAGATTAAAACCATATTGATTACAACAGTTAATCAACAACTGATTTGTCGACAACCATTTCACTGTGGGAGCGTCGCTAGAGAATTGAGAAGGTTGAGAATTCAGAGATAATTTGGACTGTGAACAATGTGGTAAAAATGGTCAGTCAAACGTTGTAGGCTCGTAGATCACATGGACTGTAAATAAAGCAGTGAAAATGGTCAATGAGAGGCTAAAAGTTCGGAGACCTACGGAACCATAAATAAGGCAGTAAAAAGAATTCATACTTAAAAAGGACGACCAATTACAAAAAGGGAGAAAGAGGAAAGTAATCTGTAATTGGCTAATGGTTATAAAAAATTCAAAATCCACCAAAGATGCACTCCCAACGGCTAATTAATATACCATGGCACAAAACTTGGATACCAAGAGATACTTCTCCGCTAAAAAGTACAATCATAAAATTTTAGTAGAAGATTGGGAAGACTAGTAACACAACCATAAGATGTAAAAGTTACTATAAACTGCCAGAAATTGTAAAGATATTTTAGTTAAGATAAATCTATGTATAACATCTGTTGAATAATTTTTGAGAATTTTCAACTTGTAAGAGATTTATTCTGTAGACTCATTTATCTACTCTCTCTCGCTGTGTTACTATTACCTGAACATCTTATTTGCAAAAGTTATAAATCTACATAAAATCGCGTGACAGGTAAATTCTTTCTAAGAAAAATTGCAATTTATTCATAACATTTTTCTACAACATCTAGTGCCAGAAAGAAATTGGCACAAAGATACATTTTTAGTAGCAGAAAAAAGTTAGTTCTTCAAGTGAATATCTGAACAACAAACATCAATGTCTGATTAATCAACCAGCAGTTGCTAACAGCTGATACACAAGTGTATCTGTGTCAGTGTTCTCCTATATTAGGTGATATACAGATGTATCTGTATATCTGAATCATGATTACTGTTCTTCTTAAAAAAAGAAAAAAAACTTATCAGCCGGTGTTTTTAAAGTATATAATATTTAAAAGAATTTTTTTAAAATATTTGAGATGTAAAATGAACTTTTAAAAGTTAGAAAATGTTTTTTCAAAAGAAATTTTATGGTTTTTAGGAAATTAATTTTGTGATCAAAAGCCGTACTTTAGTATACTGTAGTGACCGTGACAGTCTTAGCTCTTCATCTGACAACTGTATATTTTTAATTGGTACTAATTAATCTATGCTTAAATTTAATAGTTAAGCTAATAAAAAAAATTATGTTTGTAACCGTTCTAAACTGTTTTATTTTAACCCGAATATTACAAGCAGATTTGTTTGATTTCTAATATTAGCATCGTCAAAATTATATCACTTACCACACAAAAGCAGTTACAGGTTTATGCTTTGTTGAGCTCTTAATGTAAGTATAAAAATTTTGTTGCATAAAGAAGTGATGATTAATATACGACAAATAATTTCAAAAAATTCCTCAATAATTGATCAAAGATTACGTAAGCAACACTAAAAATATACATCAAATTATTTTTAGCAGCGAACAATGCAAATCAGAGACTACAGTTTTGTTCTTTGGCATACTCTAGCTTGAAGTGTGTGATTGCATGGTTTCTGAGACCAAAGTGTTCGACCATATAAACCCAATGTGGATGGTGGCATGAATGCACAATAGTCAAAGTTACCAACATATCTTTGACGATTATTAAAATCTTGATAATCTACCGGCGAATGATCACTCCAGTAGAGTTTCAGTCGATTGTAACCAATCCATAGAAACATTGTAGAGAAATTCTGTTTCACTGCAAGGAAAGAAAGCAAATAGCACAATTTTTGGTCATAATAAGCGCAAAAAATTACTTTTAAAAACAACAGGAAACTAAATTGTATAAAAAGAGCAAAAAATAGCAAACGTTGAACAACAAAAAAGTGTTTTTAGATTTTGTTGCTATACTTAACCGTTTCAATCATTTATCTGTTCGCCAGCTAACCTATGTTAACAATTTCCGTTTGCCAACTGAGAAAGATTATAAAAAATTGGCATATCAATTGAGAGTTGGTTTTATTTACTTTTTGTCTACGCAAAATAAAAATAAGGATTCTATAAGGTTAGAAATTGTACACTGAAGCAGCATTAATTCCTATTTTAAATTGCATTTATTTTCTTTCTTTTTTAGCCTTTCTCTTCAAAATAAAAGCAGCTTCTCGCTTACTCTTCCTGAAGTGCTTCATTTCATCTTTTGTTGATATTGAAGCTAATCTTCCATTAGGAAATCGGCGTTTACAATAACTCGATGCACGTAACCAACTCATTCGACTTTTGGTAACCTACGACAAAGGCAAAAAGAAAATAGTAAAAAATGAGAGTTCGCATAACAAAATTTTTTGTCAGTTATTAGAAAGTTGTCGAGAAAACTGTACTTTAGCAGACTGACAAAAATGTTGAAAGTAATTTGATTTTAGGCAGAAAAAAGATGACATTTCAAAAAGAATGAGTTAGCTAAACTAACATGATAACACCAATGATCACCGCTGTAAATGTTTGAATAGTTACCGCAACCTTAAAAGACTCAAATATTTTGGTTGGTTTTGTTTAGAAATGTCACAGAAGATAACTTTCTTTCAAAAACAAATAAAGTTTAAACACAACGACTTAAATACCATTAGTTGGAGTTCTTTTCCACTGACAAATTGCTGGATTTTTCATTGTGCAAAAATAGTTATCCCAAAGCAGATCATATCTGATCATTGTACAATGACCGCCCAAAAAGTTCGGCTTTCCATCACTCCAGTTTTCGAAGTTGACTGCAGCACGATTTTCCCAAGTAAACTTTGGTCTTCTTAGCCCAAGCCATGCATTCGTTTTTGTATCACGAACTAATCCTGAGCAATCATTTGAATTATTTATAGATTCTTACTTTACCGTTACTTAGTTGCAGTTAAAGAAGTGATATTTAAAAGCAGAAAAAAAAGTGAAGCATCTAAAATTGATGAAGTTTCAAAATTATGACAACAATACACGTAACAAATTTCTTTTTTCTATTTTTACAAAGAAGGCTGTCAACTTTCTTGAACATTTTTTCAACTGATCAATCAATACTTAAAATTTAATTACTTCCGATACAGATGTCCTCCTGTTCGTTATGAATTGATGCCAATTTACAGTTGTTGGTATCACCCCAAACACAGTTGTCGCAGTATTCCACCTATAGTTTACGCAAAATTTACGCGAATGATATCTTAAATTTTAAATAAATATACTGTATTATTTGCTTAGGTTTAGCTGTACAATTCTCTTTTTACTACAATAATTTAGTTTATTTTCTATTTAATATATTTGAAATATATATTAAAAGAAAGAAGAACCAGCCTAAAAAGTGAAATATAAAACAGTGATCAGAAGCAAACCTTAACAAATTTGTTGCCGCAAACTTGCCAATGACTTGATCCTTTAGCAGCTTCAGTTCTGATATTTGAATCTGTTTTGATAAGTTTTATTATTTAATGCTGTAGTAACACATACAAATAATGCACAGCAAAAAGTAACCGATGATTGACATTGAAAAATATGATTGTATTCAGAAACGATAATCACAAAATTAATGTTGAGAAAAAAAATTTTTTTTTTTAAAGTCACTATTTTTTGCACGACTTTTAATGTTTAAAAAATTAAATTTTTTTTCGCCTAATAACCCAAAAAAAATTCTCGTTTTTTAACCAAAAAAATTTCTTAATATTCATTTTTACTTTCAAAACTAGGGTAAATGTTGCATTAGCCATCAATTTTTTCTTCCCAAATTTCTTATCACTACCGCATTTAGACAAGTCTATAAAAAAAATTCTAGATTAATATTAGTTAATAGAAATTAGATGTTTAGGTATGTTATTGAATCAAGAATATTTAGCAAACACTTTTATCAATCATAACCTTTCGTTTCCTGATTCGTATATTCTGCTGATTTATTGGATGAGGTAGGCTGGAGTTTTTTTGCATTATTTTTCGAGTTTTCTGTGCCACTTTTATTTATAGGTTTTTCCTGTAATAATTTTGAATCTTCTAATAACTGTTCCTTTGTTGACCTGTTTAACCCCGTTTCTTCTGTACTGGTGTTGTTCAACCTGACGGTATCAGTAGCTATAGTGCTTGTGCTGTAATCAAGTGTTTCCTTTTCTGGCGTCAACCGAACTTCGTTTTTTCTTATCTTTTTCAGAACTGTATCAACTTTTGGACTTTTTGAGCTTTTTGGAATTACGTCTACCTTTGAAATCTTCTTAACAGTTTCTAAGCTAATTGGTTTCTTAACTGTTTCAGACACATTAGGAGTTTTGAAGTTTTCTGAAAGGTTAGTCATAGGATCAATAGCTTTGGTTGTAGGCCTCACTGTTACAGCAACAGCGGATGTCTGTGACGACTTTGCTGTAGTGTGACAGCTTTTCTTTTTTGTAGTACCATCAGCAGCTACTTTTACTGTTTCGTTGTTTCTTCTTGTAGCTCGTTCACTTTTAAAAGCGTACCGTGATAAAGTCGCTTCTAGTAGGTTATTATCATAAGGATAGAAAAGTATCTGTAAAGGCAATCTTTTTTTAAACTTTTTTAACAATTTATTTTTTCTTCTTCTCTTTGAAGAGGTGAATAAACGTTTCTTCTTGGCATCTTTTTTTACAGGTGATTTGGGTACGAAGTTTAAAGGTTTGAATCTTTTTGAATATTGTATTGCATTTTTAGTTGATAAGTTCTTGCTGTTAGAAGAGCTGGAATCGAAAGCACGCGGAATTGCTAAGGGTTCTGCATAAGGCTTAGCTGCTAACTTCCATGATCTTTTAGATGGCAACGCTGTCTTTTTCTCTGATTTCTCCAAGACGGACTTCTTCTGAATAGCTGTGGAACCGCTGTCGGAGGTATTTGTTATGATTATCTGAGAAGAAATACTTCTTGTTTCATTACCATCTCTTATTGTCCAATAAATTTTTGTAGATGACGCAAGGATTTTGTTGGTGGATTTGTTCTTGTTTTCGTCATATTGAGCAGAGCCAAACTTTTCATTTACTATGGTAGTCAGATTTGTCAAAGTTGTTCCATTAGAATATGTTATGGTAGTGATAAATTTCTTGACTGAATCGTTAGTAGCCTCTAAAATTCAATTTTGAGTCATATTAATGTAAAAATAAGTAGTTTTTAAGCAGGTAATGATAAAAAGATTAATAGTTTTAGGTATATTGAAACTTCTAATTTTTGATTAAAGTATAGCCGGTATCAATTGTAAAAGAGAAAAAATTAAAACAGTGACACGTTGCAATTGATTAAAGCGTTTCCAAGTTTTCGTTATAGAACAATTTCGTTTAATCTTATAGTTTTTTCTTACCTTTGAAAAATATTGTTAAAATTAACACTAATATGGTATGTTTGGTAAATGTGAGCATCAGTTTTGCATTATTCTTTTTGCTTTCTGTATCCTAAACAAGAAATGCTAAGCTAAAAGAAGTGGTAACGAGAAAGCACAAAACAGTGGCAAATTAACAAAAAACTGTTATGAGCAACATCTTATTGTTTTTTACCAGAAGTTTTAATGCAAAATTGTTGCTTTAAACAATGAAAGACTATCTGTGCGTGGATTGTATTTGTTCTGAACTACAAGTTGATATTTGATACTCGTATCTTTGAAAAAAAGAAAGTAAACGTAGACCATTTAGCGTCCATTCGCACATTTTTTTTGTTCTAACTTTTAGATTTTTTTCGAACTTTGGCGATTTGTAAAACTTAGTACCTGACTGCTGAATCAAAAGAGCGTGCCTTAAAAGCACACCAAAGGTGAGTTTCTCGTTCTAAAACTTGAAAAAAAGTTTATTTTTAGAGATTCGTAATTTCGTTTGTTAACGAAGAATGTTCAAAATTGTTAATGCTTTGAAAGAATAGTCTTTGATAGACTCAGAAGATAGTCTTTGATAAACAAATTGATAAAAGCATACATTGACAGTTTTATGTAATGGTCTATCTAAAGACAATATCAAGAGAAGTGTCAATAGGAGCGGTAAAGTATAAAAAGTGCTAAATGGAAGGTTTTGACGAAACTGTAATTGTGACGTTTGAAGCGGCAATCAGATAAGTCGTTTATTTTATTCGTTGATTTCTCTATTGTTCTCAAACCGAAAGAGAAAAACACCCTTTTTTCTTTTTGTGCAAGAGAAGCTGCTTTTTTAACCTTTATTTATCAAGACATGAATATATGGCTGATCTGTTTTCGTCTTCATTGTCTTTATTTGAAATTACTATTGAATAGAAAAGTAGCATTTAAGATGGAATATGACACAGCAAAAGCATCAAAAACAAAAACAATTTATTTGAACATCGTCAAACAGTTTTATCAGACAATATCTGCCCTGATTTCTTTACAAATTGTTCGGACAATTCTCATTTGCGGGTAAATATTCCGTAGTTTCACAATTAGATCAACTCTTTAGACTTTTAATAGCACAGCACATTTCTCTTCCAGTTCCTTGATATAACTCAAGAAGTAGAATAGGCCATTAAGTAAGCAGCTTAAAAAAGTAGAATTTGACCGGTACAGTTATGAATGATTTAATTTGTATTTTTACTTTTAAGACCATTTTATTTCTTGAAAAGCTAAAAGAATTGAATGCTTTGTGAGCTAAATTTTTTTTTCGTTAAGAAAAACTACTAGAAAAACTATTTGGTCTTCAACATACTGCAGTCACAGTTCATTTTTCGGCACTCTACAGTCAACTAAAACCAGCTGATCTTTTTTACTTCTAAAATTTTGAAAAGTTTAAATGTTTTAGTTGAGTCTACAATCTGGGCTTGGTGAAACAGACAGACGGGATTGAATCATTCAGGAAACAACTATGTGTAATTTTGTTTTGGCGAACATATATCGTAATTTTTGGAATAAATTAGCTTTTCATCGAGGCTACAGCAAACACAGCGAAGAAGTGAAAGACATATGGTTTGATGCTTTCTTTTGGTTCAACAACTGTTTATTAAAAGCTGATTCAAAGGCATGTAACTCATTAATAACTAGCAGTCTTAGAATCTACTAGCAAGCAAGACTGTGGTAAAATCATCCCAATAAGCCGTTTTCTAGATCCTACTGCATTTTGCTGCTAATTAAATTTTTGCCGTTTTCTGTAATTCAGAACTCAAAGCACCTGTCTTGAGAGATGCTGTCTTGTCTGTTTTAAGTTAGAAGCATAAAAGCGTAAGTCGGTCTGGTATAGCGTTGGAACACCAGGCATCTGGTATAAAAGAAGAATAATAGATGGAATTCTTCTTCTTCTAACCACTTAGACTTACTAAAGTAATCAATTAATGACGATTTTTTTTTGAATATTTAGTAAGTCTTTGAGCAGACAACTCTAACGGCTTTTTTTAAAAAAAAAAAAAAAAAGGTATTAAAATATGTGCATCGATTTCAAGTTCGTCTGCTGATAATCGGTGGTTTTGCAATAGCTGCTCTATCTATTACAAGTCTGTCAAACTGATAAAAAGTAAAACACAAGTAGATTTTTTAGGCTTTTACAGTTTTCTTATTTGCGTACTTCCTTCTTTCACTGTAGCAGACTCTTCAGAAGGCGGAAAAGAGAAATTATTTGAATTAATGACATAGTTTCTGATTTATTTCTTACTTGAGACTTAAGTTATGCCTAATACTGCTAAAAGAAGAATATAAAGAATGGTTTTTAAATAGCCACTGTTATGCAACTTTCTCAAAATTATTTAAATTAATGACATAGTTCAGAATTGTGAACTGAAATATGTCATTGATTTAAATAGTTTTGAGAAAGCTGCATAGCAGTGGCTATTGGGAAACCATCCTTTAGTTCCTTCTTTTAGCAATATTAGGCAAAACTTAAGTCTCAGTTAAGAAGTAAATTAGAAACTTGTAATTTTGCAAAACTTTATTCTGCCAATGATCCCCTAATGCATTTTTGAGTTTCATTATTATTTCACAATTTCGTGCCAATTTTGTTCTGCTTTTCGCAGTAGTGGTTAGGTAATCAGTGCTAAGTACTTTTATAAAGTACATAAAGAGGAGCAAAAGTAAATTAGACTGCAGCAAATTGGTATTCTAAACAAAAAGGGGTGGAAGAAGATGAAAACGTAAGCAGCGAGTGATCACAGGCACGAATATTTGGGAAAGCGATTAACTGGAGACTGTTCTGTTCCCTGTCAGAAATACTGGAGAAATATGGATATTTTTTGTTATGAATAGCGTATAAGCACCTGTTATGAGGATTTAATTTAGCTATGCGGCGATCTACTACAGGTTCTGCTCTCCACTGAAAATTCAAGACTGCTTTTCTTCTTTGTTATCTGTTCTAGTGTTAAGATTCGTGCTTTAGACAAAGATAAAACTTTTAAGTAAAAAGCACCTTCTGCAAAGAGCGTCTGAGATAGACTGGAACGCAGCTAATTATCAGATGCTTGAAAATCGTTGTAAAAGAGAAAATAGTTTAGCACAATGAAGGTTTGTGCTGCTAATCATTTCTCTTGACTTACCTATCAGATCTTCTCCAACGAATAAACGTTTGAACAGAGTTCTTCTACTTTTTCTACTGTCTGAGTTCCCAATTAATTTACTAACGAATTTTGAAGGAGAATAGGGAGGTGTGCAGTGGAGAAACCAGAATATAGAAAAAGTCTTATGAAGAGGAGACAGGAAGGAAAGGTGAGAAAGCAAGTACCAGCACTGTTTGATTAAAAAATTGCACTGATTAGTGAGAATTTATCGCACGCAAGATCAAAGAACCGATAATTAGCAATTTTTTCCAGACCTTTTGTCATTCAAAGCACAGAAGTGCGAAAGGATAGCAGTACCTTTAAATAAAAATTTACTTGAAATTTATGGGTAAAATGGTCACATCATACAAAAGCAGTCTTTGATACTAGAATTGAAGTCTTTGGTTTTTTTGCCCAGTTTTGATAGAAAATCTGGAAGAATGAATACTAGCTTCATTAAACCACTGTCTTCTTCAGGCGGGCTTCACAAATGAATTGGGAACCAAAAAGCCAGGAAACGAAATTGTAAATGCTCTAATGAGATAAGGCAAACATCTCGAGATGACGTTACTTGTCTAATACGTACTAAAAAAAACTGCTTATTTAAAACCTAAATATATTGTAGTCCTAGAAATTTTAGTCACTTATGCAATCTAGCCTTTAATTATTGTTCTCCTTAGTCAGAAAAAGAAGAAAACACGATCAGAGGTTACTCTGTATTTTGCTTCTTAAGTTGTATGCACACCTGTTAATCACTTCCGCCTAAAAAGTTCTTTTTTTTTTCTGTTTATCAAATAGTTTTAGTCGAACGATTTATAGGGAGCAACTGGGAGGGTT